GGCCTGGGGTACTCACGTTTGGAATGGGGGATCGAAATTCATGGTATTTCAGTAAATGGGAGCCCCATTTGGGCCCCATTTACTGTCAAATATGACTCTGACAAGCGGGAAATTTCGCACCTGGACTGGAGATTTCGAGAACCTTCTGGGTTACCTGGAGGAAACTATATAAGCGACGACGAGAACCATGGGGGGAGTGAAGTGACAGGAGCGACCGAGTGCAGAAGAAGGTTAAACCCGCGAGTCGGAAACGCGTGTTTTCCTTGTGTTATTGTTATTGTTAGTGAAGTTGACGGTAACTTTGAAGTTAGTTTGTTCCTGTTCCGTAGTTAAAGTTGTACCGAGTGGAATAAAAGTTGGAAGCAGAAGAAAGAGTTTGATACTCGGCCATCCACGGTACAATATTAACAACATATATTACTTGGCGCATTTTCGGTTTGAGATCAGGCAGAATTTTATAGAAAGAATAACTACACACGGTGGATACTTACAAGGTTTTTGACGTGGATCCACCCTTCCTTGTCTCGGATCGTTAGGAAAGCTCGGAGTACTGCGAATGTCTCTTGAGTCCCTAGGAAAGCTAAAACCGTGCAAAGTAAAATTTCAATTAAATCAAAGTAAAAAAATAATTATTCTTAATTTCTGCTATTGTTCAATTGTGGCAACTTTTTGAACCAATAAATAAATTTTTCTGGTGGAAAGTTTAATAAAATGGTTATTGTCAAATAAAACGTGCTAAAATAATTGAACAGGAAATACCTAAGTCTTTCAAATTATTAAAATAGATCATTTAAAAAAATAGATTACTCCTTTCTGTATGTGAATTTGATTAAGGAGAGCAAAATAATAAGCACGGTATTACGGTCGCAATTGTGTTACCTATGAGTAATTTCTGTTGGTTTTGCCGCTAAAATGCTGCTTTAATATGTTCCATTAGTGCCATGACATACATTTTAAAATATACTTACTTTTCGCCTACTGGCGGCAGAGGATTAGGCAGCGAAGCAGGCGGCAATTGTCTCATATCCTGATCAGCCATTCTACTCAGCCGTGCATCCACGGCTGATCTAGGATCCATGGTTCTTAAATCAACATCTTGACCTGTGAGGATATTAATTCCTAATTTAGAAGTGTTATAAATTTCTGAGGCTTCAACCAATCAACAGGCCCTGACAAAGTAATTTATGTATAATATAATATTATGAACAATATAACAAATGTGAGTACTTCGGAGAACAGATCTTGGACTTTTTAGTCCTCACCAGCTGAGCTAAAAATTTGCTGGATCTGCAGAAAGAGCCTACCTGTAAAAACTGGAGCACTATGATTGGTCATTGGAGGTAAAATAGGAGCGGGAACAGGCTGAAACTCTTGCCGAGGTGGAGCGACAGGAGCTGGAGCAGCTTGAAATTCTCGATTGATTGGTACTTGAACTGGAACATTTTTGTCTCCAGGCATCAGCGTAGCTGGCACTTGATTTATGGGGTGCAATAATGACTAAAAGACATCGACACTGTAATAACATCAGAAGATTATGGCTTATTGCGTTGCACTTACAGCAGCCGTATGTGGATCAATAATCTTCATAACAACTTGGGCTTGGAGTAAAGCATACGCAAGCTGAGGATTTTGCAGCAGCATTTGACGAGCTTCAGTTGGATTGTTCTGGATTGAAAATGTAATAAATTTGTAAAATAAGTAACAGCAAACAACTTCAATAGTACCTGAATAGTATTCTTCATTTGCTTCATTAATTCAAACATTTGCTCCGGAGGTAAAGAAGCGACTGCCTTACTTATAGCTTCCGGTGCTTTTTCTGCTTGAACGGGCTCTCCGTACGGATTCTCCACAGGTGGTTGATTCAGTAAATTTTGCATTTCCATTCTCGACTTTTCGGTACAGGCGTTGTCCACTCTCAAGCTTCTACCACCAATTTCGTATCCGTTCAAATTTCTCATTGCACTCAAGGCGGTTTCTTGATCTCGATATTCACAAAACCCATATCCTTTAGGTTTTCCAGTCTCGCGATCAAAAACTAACCTGGAATTATTAAATGGGTGAAATAATAATTAACTGCGTTTATGGACAGATTATAAATATTATTACTGATGTACCGGTCATTTGGGGTGAAGTCGGACTGTGGGGGCCAAATCGGCCAGACCGTTAATGGTCAATATTTTCGTCAAAAATATTTGATGCAACGCGTAAAGAAGTGCCCAACGATATATATTCCTCCCAGTCAAGTTCCTAGTACCGTTAGCAGTATACATTTTTACTCGATAAATTAGCCTTAGAACACAGAGTGAGGATTTTATGAATTGTATTTTTTTCTAGGAATTTGAAGACTATAAAAAATGGCCTTTACCCCACACATAGGAGTGAAGACGAACACGCTTTATCTAAAAAAAAATAGAGGGAAGTTTAAATATAAAGTAATCCTGTTGTCATTATCAAATAAAACTAATTTTTACTGATGTCTGCTGGACAATAATATTATTGGCTTGCAGGAAAGGCAATTGAATAATATCGGCTCTTGTTTAAGATTTTAGATAATAAGGTGTATCAAAAATTCCGACAAAATGAACATCTATGGTAACATATACATGAAAGATTAAATACGTTTATACTATCTATCTACTGCTATTTTGTTAAATATTTAATAAACAAATTCAGCAAAAAAAGTTCAAAAAATTGAACAAAATTTGAATATTCCAAAATCAAGAGCACATTGAATATTCTGCGAATTGTATACATATGTACTAGAAAATGTCAAGCGGACGAACATTTTCCTTGCCAAATAGTATTCAACCGCAGAAATGTACATTTTTGTAGCATACAAAATTCTTAGTTATACAAAGAGTTAAAACACCAACATAGATTCAGATTTAATATGTGGGCTGGAATTTTGGAAACAAGGATAATAGGCTCATTCTTTTACAATCAGAATTTGACTACGGAACGATACTAAGTTATGCAACTGAAGAACCCCGTATCCTTTTCGACGATTTATTAAAAAGATGATCAAAACGTAACTACAATGTAAATCGTTAAAATCAGAAAAAAAAATTGCCCTTTTTATCTTGTACATATTGTACAAAAAAATATATGTCCCTTATTACCAGATATAAGCATAGAAGAAGCGTAGGTAAATTGAAACTCATTGTATTGTACAATGTTTAGAAAACAATGCTTGTAAGCACAAGTGAAGTATTGTATTTTGTGATGAGCGAAATTTGCGTAACTTAGTTAGCAAGACCAAGACTAAGACTACGTGCAAGAACAAGTCTTTTGCAAGATTTTGCGAGAGTCGCACATATGATCGAATCGCTTATAATAATATTTCTTTAAGGAAACAGAAATTATTTATTTGTGAAAAAACTACGAACTTTACAAAATTTAACAAAGCGCCTAAAAATCATCTAAAAGGATTAGTGCAACAACGCAAAAAAATTAGCTAATTCCAGCTACCAAATAAAAAGTTCGAGTAGTTTTTGCACCAAGACACTGAAGGAATTATCACTTGCCCATAGTAAATAAACTCGGATGCTTCATCAAAATATGAGTCTTACATAAGAACAAATTCGCAGCCACTTTAAGATTAAGATCCATCGTATCATACTCCCACGATATTTAAAAAAAATACTTTCTGGAGAAATTTGACCATCAATAGCAGAGAAGCCGGACATTTTTCCTTAATAAAAGTTGAAGAATGTCGCAGGCGTTTGATCATGTGCCGACGAGACACCTTGTATTCTCTTGACCACAAATAGATCTGTTTTCTATAATTAAAATCTCTACTTCATCGACCAATTCCAGTCCATACGGACAATTAATTCTAGTATGTGCGAATTGGGAGAAGATAACAAGTTATTGAAGTGAATTTCTTTTAGGAACACCGGCAGCCGATAGCACAGGTTCAGCTTTTACCTTCCTCTTCTAGGTCCAGCAGATTGGGGCCCATGTTCCAGAAGCAAGCACAGAATCATTTATCTATTCACCTCCATTTGGACACATTAAACCATTACAATCTATGTATTTTTTTAGTTACTTACTTAAATGACAACACTTGACCGACTTCGCCAAATATATCTTTCAGTTTCTCTTCTGTGGCTTCATAAGGAATGTTTCCCACTGCAATAATAATTCATAGACAATGCAAGCAGAAAAATATGGAAATTATAATTACCGAACACAGATCTCATAGACTTGTCCATTATATTGGCTTCTAGATTGTCCATTTTGGCGTTTATTAACAATTGCGTTTATTATTGGTAAACAAATGTAAAAACTAGTTGGCTAATTGATACCAGCAAATTATGTTTGTTGATGATCCTTGATAGTTGAGGTTAGCTTAGGATTGTCTAGTTTTGCCAGATTGTGCCCGTCAGGTGAAAAATTGACGTTTTTGTTTGCATAATTGCAGCTAAACTTGAAAATGACATGATCTTCTTTAGCATTTTAGCAAATTATGAAATAGTTTTTGCTAGTGTACTATAAAGCGATTTTTTTCTGGACAACATGCTTAGCATTTTTTTAACACAATAAGCTTGATGGCTGGTTAAAAAGGGTCTAGTTTATTCGAAGGTTTGGCTACATTGCCAACCGATCTCTACAGTGTAGAGAGAATCTGACTTTTTTTTTTATCGACAGATCACAGAGTTACAGATTACAGCTTAGACAAGGAAAGACTCTCTTTCCTTGTCTAAGGATTACAGAGTGTGATCAACCTCCACAAAATATCCCCCCTGTCTAGGGGGTATGTTCTGTGTCAACCTCTGTGATCTATGCACAGAGGTTCTGTGGCAGTTGTCTTTGTCTATGCAGTATATACATTGAACTATATACTAACTGGAATGGCATCGCCCATAAACAGCTAATGCTAGGGGCCGTAGCGAGGATTTGTATGACAGAGACGGGCAGAGGTAGGTATTCCGCGTCGTGTTCATCACATGTGCTTATATGCTGAGTTTTATACCGCGTCATATATTTTGTTTATTTTTGTTTAAAAAGCACTGTTTTTAAATTTGCACACATGGTTATGGGATGTGTGGCATATCAATGCAATAATGTGCATAATAAGAATAGTAATATTCAATTTAATGGATAAGTTTTGACACCATTTTTCAAACTAGCCGCATCTAAACTTAAACTTTTTGACTCATTAGGTGAAATTATTTTAGTTTTCCGTTTCAACGACCTGAAATCCTGTCAATGTGGATCA